GAAAATAGATTTTAAAAAAATGAACAGAGCCTCAGAGACCTGTGAAACAAAAAATCCTACATTCACATCTTTGGAGTCCCAAAAAGAAAAGAGATGGCAGGGAAGAGTGGCTGAAAGTGTATTTAAAGAAATAATAACTGAAAACTTCACAAACCTGTCAAAAAATACAAATCTAGAGATCCCAAAAGCTGAAAAAACCCTCAAATTATATATATGTATGTATATATACATAATTTGTTGTTGTTGTTGTTGTTGTTGTTGTTTGTCGTTGTTGAGGAAGATTGGCCCTGAGCTAACATCTGTTGCCAGTCTTCCGCTTTTTGCTTGAGGAAGATTGTTGCTGAATCTTCCACCATTTTGTATGTGGGATGCCACCACAGCATGGCTTGATGAGCAGTATGTAGGTCTGCACCCAGGATCTGAACCCTTGAACTTCAGGCCACCAAAGCGGAGGGTGCAAACTTAACCACTACACCACCAGGCCAGACCTCAAATCATATTTTGTAAGCGCTGAAAGAAAAGAACTGTCAGCCATGAATTCTATATCCAGCAAAAACTATCCTTCAGGAATGGAGGGGGAATAAAAACTTTGTCAAAGGAAGAAAAACTAAATAATTTGTTATTAGCAGGCCTACCCTTAAAGATTGGTGAAAAAAAATTACTTTAATGGAAAGGAAATGATAGAAGAAAGAGTAGAAGAAGGAAGAATAAAGAAAGGAATAATTAATATCAGAACAAATCAGTGAAATTGAAAATAGGGAAACAATAGAGGAAATCAATAAAACACAAACTTGTTCTATGAAAAAACTAATGAAATTGACAATTCTAGAGCAAGAAAGACAAAAATAGAGTGAAGACACAAATCAAAAACAAAAGATATTACTACAGATCCTGTGGTCATTAAAAAGCTAATAAGAGATACTATAAACAAATTTATCTTTATGAATTCTACAATATAGAAGAAATGGGCCAATTCCTTGAAAACCACAAACCACCAAACTCATCTAAGACAAAATAGGCAATCTGAATAGTCCTATAACCGTTAAAGGCATTGAATTCACAATTAAAAAGCTGCCAAAAAAAGCAATCTCCAGGACAAATGGTTTCACCAGATGGGAGAATTTCACAAAATAGTTAAAGAAAAATTAAAAGACAATCTTACACAATCTCTTCCATATAATGAAAAGGGAGGGAACACTTCCTAACTCATTTTATGATGCCTGTATTATCCTGAAACCAAAACCAGATAGACAGCACAAAAAAGAAAAGAAAGAAAGAAAACTATAGATCACATATCTAATGAACTTAGATGCAAAAATCCTCAAGAAAATGTCAGCAAATTAAATCCAATAATGTATAAAAAGAATGATACAAAGTGACCAAGCAGGATTATCCCAAGTATTCAACGTTAGTTCGATATTTGAAAATCAGTCAATATATACCATCATATCAACAAGTAAAATAAGAAAAATTATATTAATTGATACAGAGAAAGTATTTGACAAAATACCATACCCACCCATGATAAAAACAGAGGAAATAGAGGGAATACTTCAACTTGATAAGGAGCATCTAGCATCTACAAAAAAACCTACAATTAACATCATACTTAATGGTGAAAGACTGAATGCTTTCTCCCTAAGATCAAGACCAAGGCAAGGCTCTACCACACTCATTCAACATAGTACCATAAGTTCTAGCCACTGCAATAGCAAGAAAAAAAAAGACACATACTAGAAAGGAGGAGATAAAACTGTCTGTATTTGTAAATGACATGATTGTCTATGTAGAAATCCCAAAGAATTTACAAAAAAATTCCTAGGATAAAAATGTGAGTTCATCAAGGTCACAGAATACAAGATCAGCCAACAAAAATAAATTATGCTTCTACATACTAACAGTGAACATTTAATAAATAAAAACAAATTACCATTTACAATCAGTCCAAAGAAAATAAAATATTTAGATATACATTTTACTAAATATAGGAATTGTATGCTGAAAATGATAAAATGCTAATGAAAGAAATAAAAGAAGACATAAATAAATGGAGAGACATACCATGTTCATGGATTGGAAAATTCAACATAGCAAAGATGTCAAGTCTCCTCAAACCATAGGTTTAATTCAATTCCTATCCAAATCTAACAAGGTATTTGTAGATAGACAAGTTTATTCTAAAATTTTTATAGAAAGGCGCAAACAAAGGTAAAATAATATCAAAAAAGAAGTATAAAGTGAAAGGAAGCACTCTATCTGGTATCAAGTCTTATAGTATAGCTACTGTAAACAAGTCACTGTGGTATCGGCAGAGGGACAAACACATAGATCAATGCAGCAGAACAGAGAACGCAGAAATAGGACCAGATAAATATTCTCAAGTGATTTTTGACAAAAGTGCAAAAGTAATTCAACAAAGGAAAGCTGGCCTTCTCAAGAAATGGTACTGATGAAACTAGACATCTGTGGGGGGATGAACCTCAATCTAAACTTCTTATGCAAAAATCAATTCAAACCGGGTCATAGACTTAGATGTAAAATGAACAAGTATAAAACTTTTAGAAAAAGACATAGGGGGGCCAGCCTGGTGGCACAGCAGTTAAGTTCTCATGTTCTGCTTTAGCAGCCTGGGATTCACCAGTTCAGATCCTGAGTGTGGACCTACACATCACTTGTCAAGCCATGCTGTGGCAGGCGTCCCACATATAAAGTAGAGGAAGATGGGCACGGATGTTAGCTCAGGGCTAGTCTTCCTCAGTAAAAGAAGGAGGATTGGCCGTAGTTAGCTCAGGGCTAATCTTCCTCAAAAAAAAAAAAGTGAAAAGACATAGGAAAAAATCTTCAGGATCTAAGGTTAGGCAAATAGTTCTTAGACTTGACATCAAAAGCACATCCATAAAAGAGAAAAATTGATAAACTGGACCTCATCAAAATTAAAACTTTTGCTCTGTGAAAGTCCATGTGAAGAGGATGAAAAAATAAGCTACAGACTGGGAGAAAATATTGGCAAAGCATGCATCTGATAAGGACTAGTATCTGGAATATATAAAGAACTCTCAATCCTAAAAAGTAAAACAATAATAGTAATTCAATTAGAAAATGAGCAAAAAACAAAAAGACATTTACTGAAGAGGATATACACATAGCAAATAAGCACATGAAAAGATAGTCAACATCATTAGCCATTAGGGAAGTAAAAATTTAAACCACAGAGATCACTATGTGCTTATCAGAATGGCTAAAATTAAAAAAAGGGACAACAACAAACGTTGGTGAGGATGTGGAAAACCTGGGTCATTCAAGCATTGCTGGTGGAAATATAAAATGGTACAGCCACTCGTAAGGACAATTTGGTAGTTTCTTATGAAATTGGACATTTGAAGTATCATGTAACACAGCAATCGTACTTTTGGACATTTATCCTAGAGAAATGAAAACTTATGTTCACACAAAAACCTGTACACAAATATTATAGCAGTTTTATTTGTAATAAAACTAGAATCAAACCCTAGAATCAGTCCAGATGTCCTTCAGCAGGTGAGTGGATAAAAAACTGTGGTCCAGCCATCCAATGGAATATTATTCAGCAATAAAAAGAAACAAACTATTGATACAAGCAACAACCTGGATGAATCTCTAGGGAATTGTGCAGAGTGAAAAAAGCAATCCCAAAAGGTTCATGCTGTGTAATTCTAATTATATATAACATTTTGATACGGCCAAACTCTAGAAATAGAGGACAGGTTACCGGTTGGCAAGGATTGGGACAGGAGGGAGAGGGAGAGAGAGTATAGTTATAAATGAGGGAAGCGAGGGAAGTGGTATGGTTATAAATGAGCAACAGGAGGGATCCTTGTGGTGATGGAACTGTTTCAATGTCTTGACTGTGGTGTGTACATAGGAACCACACATGTAATAAAACTGTATAGAACAAATAAACATACACACAGATGAGTGCAGGTGAAACTGAATAAGGTAGGAGAATGGAGTCAATATCAACATCCTAGCTGAGATAGTGCACCATAGTTTTGCAAAATGCTACTGGAGGAAACTGGGTAAAGAGGACATGGGATTTCTCACATTTTTTCCTACAACTACATGTGAATCTACAAGTATTTCAATTAAAGAAAAAAAAAAAAACTGTGGCTATGACTGGGTCATTGCTCTGAGCTGGGTTCCTGTTTGGCCTAGAGACATGTTCCCTACCCCCTACCCCTGCGCACACGAGGTTCCTGTTGGCCCAGATGCCAAACAGGGGAGTGTGATCAGCCTGGCACCTTGGCCTCAGTGAGAACCTACTGCCACATCCGCTCTTGCTGATTCACATAGAGGAGGTTATGCTTAGAGTGAACATATTGTCAAGACTTTAAAAATCAGGATACATAGTCTAATACAGGGTTTGACAATGGAAAGTGTTTGAGATGCTAGAAAATGCAAGGTATATGTTTGGAATGGATTTTAAAGAAATCTCTTTAAGGACAAGAGATCAAATGTCTTCATAGTCCTTGCGTCTATAACAGATGAAAAGTAAAAAGACAAACGCACAAAATCAATAGTGGAATATAAAGCTTTCCTCTACAAATATTTATCTGGTAACTCCCATGTGATAGGCACTGATCCAGGCCTGCATACAAATTATCTAATTTAACTTCTAGTTACCTGGAGAAACAGATGTGGTTATCCCCATATCAGAGATGATTAAACTGAGGTTCAGAGCAGTGAAGTAACTGAGTAACCATGCTTGTCTCTCATGCAGCAAATTAAGAATTCTCTGTTTGGAAACTGTTGCCTGTTCCCATGGTACTTATATAAAAATCTAATAATGTGAAAAGATAGAATTGTTTTGACCTGAAGACTCCTGCTTTCCCTACCAGTTCTCTGTGAGCTAGGACATTATAGTGATCATAGAAAGTCACTGAAGATCATAGAATGCTATTTCTTAGCATTTCAACATGTAAAGAGAGCATGGGGTGGGGGTAGGGGGCTAATCCCATACTTACCTTTAGAAGTACAGGGGATTGTTCTAAACAAACTTCATTTTAACTATGGTTTGCAAAGCTGGTAACTTGCCAACTTGCTGAACTGGACCTTGGTTCTTTCCATAAATCTTGGCCCAGCTTCTGGCAAATTCATCAAAATACAGTCGGGGGAGGAAAAAGAATGTCCTATTAACCTATACAACATACAGTGACATATTCAAAGTTCTTTTAACATATAAGTGCTCCTCATATCCAACCACTGTTTGGGTCAGATGGCTTCAAACATTTTGACAAACCTCCACATGAAGCTACACTACTGAAATCTTACACTGACAGCCCCAAGCTTCTCCCAAGCCTGCTAATACCCTGCATATTGGCCAAATTCTGTCCTCAGATAGGCACACGTGGCTCCTTCTGATTTCCTGTTAAAGACTTTTACAAAATTAGTCCCTATCTGAGGGTTAGGGAGGCTCTGCCAGTATCTGAGGATGACTCCAGCCAGTTGAAATTTTGTAAATGCTACAGTTCAAATGGCTTGTGACTGAACTGGAAACACATTTACATTTCATTTTAATTATTGGTGATGACAACACAAGCTCTGCCATCATTTTATATTTTCCCTCTCCACCAACTATTTCAAAATGACTTCGTCACAGTTTATAGTTGGCTGATTTCTCCTCAATGAATGTTCAAAACCTCAAATCCTTAAGATCTCATTCCCTGAGAGAAAGGGAGAGATGTGAACCAGGACAGTTAAGTGGGGAAAGATAGCCCCAGCCAGACACACTAGAGCAGACAACTGTATAAGAAGAATAGTTCCCATACCTTGAAAAACGGGAAAGGAAGCACATCCCACCGTGAAGAATAGGAAACCTGTCCTTTTAGCCCCCAAGCGCTGAGTCTTTCTGGGAATCCAGGAAGGAAATACATCTTGGCTGGCACTCAGTGACAAAAAGCAGTATGCTTCTCTGAGAAACAGCGTAGCCGACATCCCTCTGGGAAAATCAGAGTCTCAACGCTTTGCAGGCCCATGGGGGCCAGGGGCACTGGGCTCTGGGGGTCGGTTGGAACTTTCAACCTACAGCACACAAACTCACACATGCCTTTGGCACCATTAACAGAAACAGCATCTTGTTTCCAATTTGGCTGTAGATAATGAAATTAGCCCCCAAATTACTATAAAGTGGAACAAGTAAACACAAAAGCAGGAGCTAAGTTTTCAGGCGTTTCTCCTCCCCGCACACAGACCAGTAAAGTCTATGGCTTTTAGCTGTTTAAATTCAAAGCAACGCTTCTGTTTTTCTAAGTCGATATTTTGACCCCCAGCAGATAAAGAACACTAAACGACACATTCAGCTGAGTTGCTGTGTTCTTGCAGGGCCGCTCTGTTTACATCAGGAAATCCAGCCCGGCGGGCGGCGGGGGCGGCTCGGGCGCCGGCCTCCCTCCCTCGCTCGCCGCCGTGCTCCGCTGGCTCGGCCGCTGGCCCCTGGCGCTCGCGCTGACTCCATCCAGATGTGCCGCGGCTCCAGAGTGGCTGCCGCGCGCAGTAAACGGGCATCGGAGGCTCGTCAACCCGGGCCAGAGCATTGCGGTCTCGCGCCGCCCCCTGGCACTGGGAGACGCGCGGGAGCAGGCCGGGCGGCGCTCCCTGGGCGCGGGGGCGAGCGTAATGACCGACCCGGGAAATGTTCCTGATGCGTTTGTACGTTTCCTTGTAAATGTTTTACACTTTAAAAGAAAGGGGAATGCTGTATATCATTTGGAAATCTTGGCTGTCTATAGGTCCCCGTGGATATTACTGGGTTAGTACGACTTGTAACCAGAGCAAGAGAAACATTAAAAAGTTGGGAAACACTGCCAATTAGTCATTACAGGGAGATTGTAAAAACAAGAGAAAGAGAAAGAGGAGGGAACACAAGGAATAAAAGAAGAAAATGCCCCAGGAAAAAAAATTAAAGAAAGTAGATGTGCTTTTGTGGTGTTCCCGGAATAGAATGGGCAAGCAAGACAGCTGGCAGCCTTCTAATCAGGAGCTACCTGCAAACCAGTAAATTCCTAGTGCAGCCCTGGAAGGACTGCGATTGCCCAAACTGTACCTCTTTGCTGTCCCTGTGAAACTCGAGCTGGGTCAGTGGGCAAGCGCTGTGCTTTGGAGCAGGACTCAATAGTGCAAAATCCAAGTTAGGCATTTATTTCTAATCGCCTGCCGCCGACACGGTCGTTGCTAGCTGAGTTATAATTAAAAAAAGATAGGAACCATATCGTTAATAATCACAGGTCTCTACCAGCCATCAGCTTCAAGCAGACTGTAGCCATGCTTGCTGAAAACTGTTTCTAATTTTATGGTAATTCTGATTGAAATCCTTTTTTTCCCCCTGCTCTTTGCCGGCTTCAAATATCCAAGAACATGTAATATCACAAGCTGAAACGGATCTAGGTGAGTTTCCTAGGCCTTCTTCAAGAACTTTATCAACCTTGTCCAGGACTTACACTAAGTGAGGAGAGACGGTGGGCCCCCACGTTAAGGTTGCAGACAAACATGCAGGACCAACGGTGCTTTCTCCGGGGAAGAGTTGCGATTGTTCATCACTGGTGTTGGGAGGAGAGGGCCCTGGAGAGGAAACTGGGGCCCATTCCCCCGGGACTGGGGGGCAAATACTGCTGGCAGGAGAACTGCTTATCTCAGCAACATGAGGAGCCGGCATCCAGCCAGGCTTCTTCAGCCCACAAGATTTTAGTCCCTGCCTCCTCTGAGTCATGAGGACAGCCACATGTGCCTCAGATCCAATCCCTGGCAAGGGTACAACTTTGCTAATCAGCTGGGGTCCTTCTTGGTGTCTGGCCACAAGTCAGCAGATGCGCAGCTCAGCTTTACCAGTGCAAAATATCTTGCATAGGATCTGTTTCAAAAACAATTATATGAGCAAATTATCTTGGCTTCTAGCAACAGATTTTTAAAATCTAGTAGCAAGATCTCAAAAAATGATTAAACCACAAATGTTATTTTAAAATAACATTAAACCAGACAAGAGATGAAGAATTCTTATAGACTCATCAAGAACATACTCTGCTCCCTGAGTTCAAAACATCCTCATGTGTGTGCATTTGGGGGTTCCCGGCAACTGTGCCTCAAGTTAAAGGGAGTGACTTTCTTATATCAGGGCCTTCTTTGGAGATAGAAACTAAAAGAGTAAACATTCTTTATCTGGAGGGACTTTTGCCTTCATAACACATGGAAGGGTTATAGTCAAAGACTAATTGGAAAATCCATGTGCACTGGGGTCCTCGATCTACCGGCTCACCTGGCCCACTGGGCTGATTTCACTAACGGCAGGACCTACAACAGATTGATGGTGTCTCCTCAGAACTTAGGACTCACAAATAATAACAGGTTTTTGCTGGCAAGCCTGTTCCAGCTACGATTACTTCTCTGTTGCTTTTCTATGAAGCTTGCCACATGCCAACCCCCTCAACCCCCATTTCTGTCTCTGCCTGATGCCCCCTCCCTGACAGGCTCATCTCACTCCTTTAATGCTTCCATTTCCCACCTCCTGCCTGATTGTGGGTGAATCCTATGGCTGATATCTTGGCCTTCTGCTATTCTCTTTATGTATTATATTCTTCAACAATTATCTTACACTGACAGTTTTTACTAGTGACTTTGAAACTTAAAGCTCCAATCTTGACATTTTTGTCAGGTTCTAGATACGTTCTTCCAGCTGCAACTAGACATTTTCATTTGATCTTCACATCATCATTCGAAATTCAGCACCTCGACAAGCAAATGCATTATCTTCCTTCCCAGATTGAACTAACTTAGCCCTCCTGACTCTCCAATTGCTACCAAAGATAATATCACTCTCCCCATAACACAGGCCCATAACCTCAGAGCTTCTTTTTAACTCATTCCTCTTTCTCATCATTCCTATTCTAGTTTCTATAACAGACCTCTGGGTGTCAGGCCCTGTCCCATGTCTGGAGATACAAAGGTGAACAAGACAGCCAGCAGCTTTCCATTCATGGCCACTCAGCACATGACTACCATGTCGATCATACTAGCATCATGCTGTGGCATAATTTCCCTGCTCAAAGCCTTGCAGTCCTTCACCTTTGCTTTATATGAAAAAGCTCATGTTCATTAACCTTGAAAATCTCCATGGCCAGAGCCCACCTGCTCTTCCACTGTGACCATCAGTCCCCTCAGGAGCCTCCTCTGGGAGAAAACTCTTGTCCTCCTGTCTCCTGCCTGCTGAGGCATCTCTACTGCCAGCCTTCTGGAGATCTTGTCCTGGAGAACCCCCATGTCCCCAGTGAGACCTTATCCACAGCCCACTCTGTTGAGCACTGGCTTGTCTCCAGCACTACTTAATTCCCCAGGTTTCAAGCCCTGCTTCCAGCTTCTGTTGGCTATCTCCGCTAGATGTCTCATAGGCACTTCAAATTCAAAAGCACTAAAACCAGTCTTCCCATCTTTGCCCTCAAAGTCTCTCCATCCTTTTGTATTCCCCATTATTTTTGGTAATGGTATATTTATCTCTTCTTATTCATAATAAAAAACTTGGAAACCCCTCCAGATTATTCTCCATCTTCCACTCTGAAGTCCAATCAGTCAAGTTCCACCTCTTCTACATCTCAGGGCACCAAGGGCAGGACCACATCAGCAAGTATGTGTTTCTAGGCCAGTCACCTCTATCACCTTGACCAGCATGCCCTTCCAAGCCACCTTCATTCTTTTCCACTCCACCTTGTTCACTGAGGGCTCCTGCCAGTGCGGGTTGAGGGGCAAAGCAGACGTTCACCTTTCACTTCCCCACAACTGGCTCCAGCCCTGCCATTCCTGGCTGCTTTTCCTGAACCTTCCAACAGCTCTGTAAATAGTCTCTTCATTACACTCTCTTCACACTGCCCAGTTTGAGAATGCTTTCTGCCAGGGAACTGACATACTGACTGATATACAGAACTCTGTCTATCATAAAGCTTTATGTCCTCAGTCCCTAGTACAACTCCTAACACATAGCAAGTGACTGGTAACAGTTTGTCAGATGCCTAAGTGAATGACTGAGTGAATACTTGCTGTTTGAAATGTATGTCATTAGTGTAACTTTCATAACAATTAGATTGCGAAGTGTTTAGGGGCATCTCACAGAGCATCTCATGCGTGCCTTACACATAATACTGCCCAATAACTATTTACTCAATAAAGCTGAGTTCTTGAAAGGTTGAGTCTAGTCTCTTTAGCTGGAAGAAGCTGGAAAACAGGCACGAGGTAGAGGAAGGAGAAGGAGGAGGAGGGAGGGGTGAGGAGGAGATGGAGAAGAAGAAGAATTCATTCCAATTAAACAATGTCATAATCATTTTATTGTGTTATTTTTGTATTTTTAAGCACTCCTCTGGTCTCTTCCATGTCAGTGTTTCTGACCTGTCTCCGGTTTGTCATACCACAGCATCTTCAAATTGAGAATTGAATGGGAGTGACCAGGAGGCTCTCTCACTACAAGGATTTATCCTCATTTATTTGTTAATTCTCTTCTCAACAAGACTTTCCTGGCACATTCTTTCAGTCAATCATCAGTCAGTTGCTGAGCCTAGAGGCAATTCCCAAGAAGTTATATCTTCTCTGGAGAAGCTCACATTCTGAAATGTGACATTGGGAAGAGAATGTGGACATAAACAAACAATTTAACATAAAATGTAAGCATTGTAATAAGAGTTAACACACTCCCACAGTAGCACAGAAAAAAATGTACGAAATTCTCTACAAACCGAGGAGGATCTCATACAGCTGGTGACATCTGAGCAGTGAGTTGCCCCTGGCAGTTCAGGGAGAGGGAATGCATGGTTGGCACTCCTAGGAATTCAGCTCATCAGATGTCTAGACTGAGACAAAATCATTAAGTAGATCTGACTCCTAAGCCACTTCTCTATTTATTCATTAATTGGATCACTAAGATTCTACTCCCTGTGTCTGATAGTTTGAACTAACACACTTACACTTTGGTATCATTCAGGAATTATATCAGGAGAAGGTGGGTTTTGGTGTTCTCTAGCTAGAAAATACTCATCACAGGGACTCAGATGTGATCCTCGTTCTCCAGCAATCCTGAGAAGGTGGGTATGGTTCCTGCCTACAGAGGGCAGTGTGGATATCGAGCTGGGTCGGAGAGACAGTGCTGCATGCCCACATGACATTCCCAGCGCCATAGCACAGAACGGTAAAGGAGCATGCCTTGGGTCCCTGCCTTTCCATCTCCTTGAGGTTCAACCATCCCCTTCCTTTAGTGAAACTGCCTAAGGCTCATAGTGCAACCTCTTCCCTTAATGAGACTTCAAGTATATTGCTTCCTTAAGTCACCCCTGAAGATGATGCTGGTTTAACTAAAATCCAGTTCCACCACACAGTGATGAAAGGAGTGAGATTTCCAGTCTGCTGACAGGCCAGGGAACATTAATGTCACATCATAGGGACTGCACAACAGTAAGGGCCACCACAGAGGGGCCTTCCCTTGTGAATTAGAGCCGTCTCAATTCAGTCAGCTTTAAAACAATAAACAGGGTACTAATTAATTCCTGCTCTACCCACCCCCTCCCCCTGCCCTAGACAACATTGGTGTCTATACAATTAGAAGGAGATATTCTCTTTTTAATATGAAAATAAATTAGTGATAGAAGTATAGAGAAATAATAGCACAAATGACATGCCTTAGGCACAGGGCTGTTAAAAAAAGAAAAGTCTGTAAATGAAAATGAGGCTTAGAAAAGCACAACCCTGAAGTCTTGGCTCACAAAGCAAGAAAATAAAAGACTGGTGGATGGGGGAGTTTCCTGAAGCCATGAGTAAAACTGGCAGAGAGCATCCCATACAGCCCTTTTTTGGTTTCAATCATATGACACTACAATATATGAATTTTGCTGTGATTAGATTTGAATGACTTTGTAGATTCAAAACAAAACTCATTTGAAACAAGTTCCACAAAGTAGCTCTATCTTCCCAGCAGTAGTTAAGTGTGTTTCCTAACTGCCCTTTTCTGTTCTGGATGGCAAAGGGGACAGGAAGGCCCGCCTGGACTAACACAACCGAGTCCAAATCACACACACACAGACACAGACACACAGAAAGATACACACACAGAAGTGCATGTACGCGGAGACACACTCACACACACACATATATACACATATGTGTGCACATAGACACACACACCCCGAGACACAGCGGCAGTGTCTAGAAGAGTCACTGGGACGCTGGGCTGCACTTCGGCTCTGCTCTGGAAGATCTGCCCTCCTTCTTCTTCCTTCTTCTTACTCCTGTTGTCTTAATTCCACCCGGGAGGGTAAGGCGGAAGACTTAGATCAGCCGTGCAAACATGCTCTGGGTGTCATAGAAACCAGGGCAGAAGAAATGAGAACCACACAGCAGTCCTGGTATGACAGTGAATATACTCTACCCATTGCAAACAATTCCTCTTGTTTTGTGGAATTTATTTTCTAAAGGGATGGGGGTGATATGTGTAATGACCAGATATATTTACAGAGAACATGTTATTTTAAACAGGGAGAAATAAAGCCCAACATGCCTATGGATGTACAAGATAACTGCAAAACAACTAAATTAACCATGTTTTTCAAAAGGCCAGATGTGCCACAGTGTGAATAACTATGCAGCCAACATAGCCATCTTAATTATTTAGTATGTGTATTAATATGCAAATGATCCTATCAGTGAAGGCCATCGTCCTTCCGTACTCCATGTCCACCCAGACTGGGCACGAAAATCCCCTGTTTCTGATCACCCTGGAAAAACCAAGGACTCAAGCATATAACACAGTGGTTCTCAATCGTGGATGATTTTGTCACCCAGGGGAGGTTTAGCAACATCTGGAGACATTTTTGGTTATCATGACTAGGGGCTTGGGAGTATTACTGGCATCTAGTGGGCGGAGATCAGGAGTGCTGCTAAACATCCTACGGTGCACAGGACAGTCCCCTCTCCCCAGCACACATTGATCTGGTCCAAAATGCAGATTGTGCTGACGGTGAGAAATCCTGATTTAACACATAAGCCTGCCTCCTTTCCCTCTCAAGGGAGCATCTCCATACCACTCTCGTACCATGTTCCCTGACAAGGTTTAGCTACTAAGACAAGAGCCAGCATGGAATCCGCAACTTCTTGGATAAAATTGTGTTGGCTAACCAGAACTACAGTCAGTGTGCACTGTGCAAGGCAGGAGTGATGGCCCAAGCGCCTTGCAAAGAAAAGGTGAAATAAAAATCACTATTACCCTCAGACCACTGTCACCTTCTGCCAAGTGGTTAGTGAGAATTACAGGCATATGATTTCAAGAAAAATATTTTATCTTGGTGAGTTTTATAAAGAAAAAAAAAGGAAAGCATTTTACCCATTATGCAGTAGCACTATTCATTTGTGGTCTGTATTTGGTTTCTTTGAGTAAGATGCAAAGACTTCAGAATTGATGTCAGAATAAATGACAGCTATTGAAAACGGCAGCCATCAGGGTTTGCTCATATACTTCAAGCCTTCCCCTGGCCTTAAGCTGCCTGCGTAAAAAGCCTGGGTAAAAAGAAGAGGTCCTACACAAAAGAGGGGAAAAGTCCATCCTCAGCAGAGGATAGCAGGCTTTCTGCAGTTTCTTCCTCTGTTACAGATTTTATTGTGAATTTTGGACAAGTATAGTATTTAAAAGAGAAAATGGTAGTCTACCTGCCTAACTGTGTGATTCTGAGTAAGTCATTTCACTTCCTGAACCTCAATTTACTCACCTGTCGGACAGGCTTTAATACTGATACAACAGTTGACAGTGACTAAGTGTTTGCTGTGTGCTGAGCATTGTCTAGGCGGCTTTCAGATGACAATCTAATTTCAATCTCACTACAGCCCCATGATGACCAGGCATGTCACAGTGGAGAAAACTAAACCCAGAGGTGTGAAAGAGCTACCTAGGTCACAGAGATGGAGGGAGCCAAGACTTCAACCAAGCTGTCTGTCTCTTAAACATGATATTCCATTACTAAGTAGATTCCTGGGAGGAGGAAGTGAGACGATGCTTCTATTATCCTTCAGAGTAGTTTTCAATGAATGGCAGTTATACTATAGTTAAATCAATAAGTTTACTTTTCTGTTTTCCCTCTCTGTAAATGTTTCTGAAAGAGTCAGCTAAGAGGGAAGCTGGGACCTCTTTTCCCATCCTAGGAGAACATGGCAATGTCCCACTGAAATCCCCTGTGGAATCAGGATGCCATGCTCCGTGAAAATGCACGTTAGGACTAGAGTTTATGAAATCCTAACAAGGAGAAGCCATTAAAGTTCAGTCTTTTTTGTAGAGGAATCCCTCAAACAGTCTCATTCCAACTGAAAAAGTCATGAGAGTTCTTCAACATGGCTTTTAAATGAGTTTGAGGAGACCTAAATTTTGCCATTTTCAGATGAAGAGTTCTTCTGAAGAAATAGTCCTGGAGTTGCATCTTATTTAATTTTAAACCTTACAACCTATGTTCTGAGTAGTGGAAGAAGGATTCTAACAGGAGTTTAGAGATATAAGGTCCAAACTCACCTTCCCACTAAGTTGACCCTGGAAGTAAGACTCCTCATCTGGAAAACATGGACACCTCATGGGTTGTTGTGACAGCTGAATCAAAGACGAGGAAGTGCTTTGAGTAAAAATTCAAAAAACAAAATATGAATAACTCTCATATGGGTGGCATCCAGAGTTCCAAAGTTCTATCCCGTCCAACATCTCATTTGATTGTATAATTACCCAATGTATTAGTCACAGAAGGTATTGCTTTTCCCAGTTCACGAATATGGAAATAAAGCCCCCTCCATAGATAACTACCCATGATGACACAATTAGGAGACTACCCCATAAATTAAACTATCTGTATGAAGTCAGTGTCATCAATGTAGTCCAAGACAATATATGACTTCTCTCTGACATCTCCTCCAATATCATTTGCTCTTAGTTACCAATGCCTTAAGCATAATAATATACACTTTTGATGCTCTCAACACCTGCAGATGAATCTTATGAAATCTGCAGCTACAGTATTAGGTAATATAGTAGAAGTAGATGTCCAAAACATCTTGTTCTCTATGTAATATTTTTCTTTGTATTCTCACACAAAAGCAGTTAAAAATAAGAGCAGCTGGTGAGTGCCAGACACACATAGCCTTGTTTTCAGAACTAAAATTTGCTGATCTCTTAGTAAGATAGTCATATTCCTGATGCAATTGTCTATAAACAAGAAATAATCTACAGGATCTATCTGTGTAACTTAGTGAAAGTCTATGTATCACAAAATCTTAAATTTAAAAAAAAAGAAATATATTCATGCGGGACTTCAAAGGCAATACCATTCTGTTCTTTTCAGGACAAAATGAATACCATCAACAAAATCAACAGCAATGAAGAAATAGCTAAAAGACCACCAGAGAGATGAAGTTTCATCTTTCAAGTGCTGCACCTATAAAGTGACAATACATGGGTAAGGTGCTTCTATGGCTGATGCCTGTGTTCAGGTGGACTATACCCCCCTCTGCTTACTGCAGGGTTTCCAACTGATTCTGGAGGGCTCTAGGTCATAAGTAGAAGTTCTCTGTTTTCTATGTTTATAGAACCCTCTGCTGACTTCTTAGCTTTTCAATACCCTACTCTGACAAAAAGCTGTCACGGGAGTATCCACCTCCAACATGGTTCATGTTTACTCCTTCTAATCTGGTATAAACTGAAAAACGAGATAACCTGGTTTAAGACTTTTATGCTACTAGAAGTGAGTGAAGCCCACTATCAAGGTTGACAGAGTATCATACCAGTTTTATGTGTAAGGAGATTTTTCTTGATACTTCAGGTTTTGAGCACTTTTTCATTTCTAGGTTCAAAGACATTTTCCAGAGGATTCATGTTGCCCAAACTTAGACTTCTAGATAATTAATGTATTGCTGCTACTTCTGTGTATCTAATGATCATCATAAACCACTTAAACAAATTCAGCAAATATTTATGGAGTGCCTGCTTTGGACAAGGTACCATCCTAAACATTGAAAAAGACAGAAAATGTCTCTTCCATTATGGGACAGTGCTTGTATTCTTGTGGGAGGGAGAGAAAGACAATAAACATGTAAACACATACATAATAGATTGTAAGGGGGTAGGAGGAGAACTAAAAAGGACATAAACAGAAAGGTATGATAGAGTCCTCAGCTTAGCAGGGATGGAGCTTCCAATATTGGAGCTGAGAGCTGAATAAGGTGGAATCAGCACAACGATGAGAAGGGGTCTTGCAGCTCAAGCCTGTGACATACTCATAAGCACCAACTGTGCACCTAGTACCATGCTGAACGCTAGGACTGCAAAAGTAAGTATGTGTGTGTTAGTCCTTCCATCCCAAGTGGAGGGAGGGCAGCCAGCATCCCTCCCTCTGCTTCCTCACAAGGCTATGATTGAGGGAGACTGTGGTGCAACTGAGACTGTGCTTGACAACGGGCCAGCATCCTTGGGAAGGAGGCTGCACGAGTGTCAGCTATCTGGTTACTGCAAACTCTCCTGGCAGTCAAGATAAAATCTTCATGTGGTGGGATGGCATCTACAACCTCTTTATTGGTTGAAAAGAACATTACTCTGACCAACTCTGAACAAACTGTACATGCCACATCGAAAAGTGAAGCATGCTTTCAGGGTGACTCTGCACCAAGGATGTTACTGCAATGTAACAGGAACCAAGGGCTGTGTCTACATTTAGGTATCACCATTACAAACCAGGAGTGAAGCCTCCTCTTTGCATTTCTAGGCATCAAGGAGGAAAACTGAAAGAACACAAGCAGCACAGTGTGCCCACCTCTCCCAGTCCCTGATCCTCGGGTCCTCCCTTAGCTTCCCAAGAAAGTTCCAGCTACATTGTCAGCATTAACCCACTGTGCCCTAAACCCAGTATACTGTCGCCAAACATGTGCCTCCCCAGTATAGCTCCAAATAGGTCCAAAGGATCCTGTCTGGCCTTATAAAGGTTAACAAGGGGGTCAGAGCTGGAAGGGTCACCAGCTGGTCACATCTGTCCTCCCTCACCAAATGTGCTGGACAATGGTCCTGAAGGCGCTAAAACTCTCACCAAGCACTTGACAGACCAAATTCCCAAGCACTGGGAAGGAATCAATATTCATAAGACACTTGTTACATGCTAAAGGCTTTCCCATATCTATTTCATTTTCAAAGCAATCTTGTGGGGTTGGTATTATTATCCCATTTACAGATGAGAACACTGAGAGGTTGATTCACAGTGACAGATACCAGATTTAAAGTAGAGTCTATTTTTTGCCAAAGTCCAAAGCTCAAGCTCTTTCCAAAATGCCATCCTGTTTCCCACCAGCCCCCCTATAGCTAGGACCTGAACTGTATATGAGGAAACTAGGGCCAAAACCCACAGAGCCTGGGGTAACCATGGCTCCCAAGCACACCTCCTCATGGCTAGCCCTACCCATCCACTGTCCAGCCCACTCCACAGGAGAAGCCAACCACAGGGCCTGCTGAAGCCCACCCTGGCTAGGATGCAAGCTCTTTCCCAGAGTTCAGCCTGCCAAGCCTCCCCAACCATTGTAGTGATCTCTTTGAGACAAAGGCATTAGGCATTAGGCTCTGTGCATTTCTAACCCCAGCTCCTTGTTTTACCCATGAGAAGATGAAGGCTTACATATGTAAAATGATGAGCCCGGTGTCACCAAGTACACTTGCGGCAGAGGCTCCCTGGGCCAGGGTCTCACTCCTGAGCATCATGTACAATGTGCCTGATGCACTTGACCTTGTTGAGCTCCTCCCAAAATTGCACCTATGACTTTATAGTGTCCTAGGGCTTTTCTGATGACACACTGTGCTTGCACAAATGTCAAAAGAATAGCTTCCTGAAAACACTGACCACCCTAACCATGGAGGAATGGCCACATGTGTCTACATACAAGCTTGCCATTCATTCTTGATGGCAGTCTGAGCTTAGAGAGGGTGTAAAGCCAATCACAGTCTTGTGTCATGGAATATATAGAGAGCTGTGTCATTGTAGATAATTAGGTATAAAGAATTTCATGCACTCAAAATCAGGCTTCCTGTCACTAACACTTTTTGGAAACAATTTTGTCCACTGATCTTTAATTTATATTGTTTGGTAACACAAACACAGAAATCAGGAACTTAGAGAAAAATTCTAAAGGATTGCATTTATAGACAATCTTTATTTTACACATATCATCTGTATGAGGAACAAGACAAAGCTGATGGAATGTTGGCTTTCTTTCAGCTTGCTGAAATATGTAAAAGGAAACAGGAAATCCTAGTGGCAAAGCTCCATTCTCAAGTCCATTCTGTAACTTTGGGTCAATTCTTATAGTCTTGCTCTAACTCAACACCACATTTAGTATATAATCATCCTAATGCTGCTTGCCACCTGCATTTCCGGAAGCTTGAGATGATCAGTTGAAATGAGATTGTGCAGCACATCAAAACTTTTCAAAGGCATGTTATTGTTACAGTCTTCTTCTTCTGGTTCAGCATGGTACTTCTGAGCACTTCATAACAATGGTAAATTAAGACAGCTAAGAGAATCTCTGAGAGTCCTGCATTAATAGCCACCCATTGGGGGAAATAAGTAATATTTTAAAAAGTGCAACAGAGACATCCTTGTTTACAGCCAGCTTGACGGAGAATCCAATTCTTTCATTGCTGATTGAGAACATATATGTTGAATTTGAGGCCTAGAATTATATTAAAACTTACCTCATTTTCAAGGACCATGAAATGAAAATATTTAATGTGGAAGAAATTTCTTCATGAGTTATGAACAAAAGCGCTTATACTCCTTGCATGTTGCAGGTTGGTGGCCATCAGATGGGAGCCCAGCAGCTCCACAACTGGAGTCTCCTCTCTGCCTCCAGTCTGCGCATGGAAGGCTGACATCTGCCAAAATAAATACGGGATCAAGTGGGCTCCACGCTCTCGTTAATTCTGGTGTTTTCCTTTAATGGGACTTGAGAACAGAGTTTTGCCACTAGAATTTCCTGTTTCATTTTCCTTTCATCTCTATCTCTCTTATGTTCTATGTCTTTCATTTACATTATGATCTCATTCTCCCATGAAGTTCAGGTTCTACATCTTCCATGAGGGTCATGGAACTGGGGAGCGCAAACTTTTTTAAGATCCAAGCGTATACACAGTTCACATTTTCCTATCATTTACTCCCATTTACATTTAACTCATCAAAAATAAGTGTACATGTGACAAAGACAGTCCTGAACCTTAGACTCCCAGGACAGGTGGAAAGGCACATTTGAAAGCAGTATGCAAAGTAAAACTTTTCCTTCATGTACAAGGAAATATATTTCATTCCTTCATAAAATTTCTTTTTAAAAATTAATTGGATTTTTAACATGTAGGGAGGAGATGAAGGGGAAAATTGTTATCAAATCTGTCTTCATACTTTTCAATTAAGAAAAACAACTTCTGCTCTACTCCATTAACAGAACTTTTTAAAATCTTACTCAACTGGTGTTTTCTCTCCTCCAACAACAACATTGAAAAGGTCCAATTGCTCTCTTGCCAAAATGACTTAAAATGCATTTGCCTATAGATGATCTCAGGAAAAAAAAATAACACAAAAGAAAAAGGGACTATGTTGATATTGATTTTCCCCTAGAAGCAAAGGACATTTATAGGTTTGCTTGTCTTCTTCCTGGGATCCTGTGCTGTTTAAGTACCAAATGATTCAGAGGGTTTTTTTTTTTTTTTAAATCAGGCAGAGGGATTAAGGGAGCCTGATTAGCCTGCACAAATTACCACATTCCACTGGATTCCTTAATGAATCAGAGAACTCCACTGTGCAAGCCCCTTTCACAGATCATTTGATCTTCTCTAAATCAAATGGCTTGCCTCACAGACAAATGCCTTTTGCTGTCCTGGAAGCCTGGACAGCTTTCATGTTTCATCTGGGACCTGCTCTCTGAAACCAGGTCACTCTGAGAAGCCACAGGGTATCTTGTAAACAGTGCAGCCTGACCACTTGTGGCCTGATATAGAACAGAAGCACAATTCAAGGGAACTCCTGAGGAATTTCTCCTGCTCTGGAGGAGGCTGACTGGCCATGTGACCTGCTGGAAAGAGAACAAAAGGACGCTCCCTTCTGAAGACAGCGGAAATGTCTTTCTCTGAGAGGCATTCTTCAGGTGCTGTCTGGCCTCAATAGGCTGCTGCTGCAGACACTTTCCAAAGCACATCCTGGCTGGTGACTGATTTCACAGGGTGCTGCTGCTGCTGCTCCTCATGCTTTCTGTAAGGCAGAAAATCTGGGGCATAAAAGGGAACCATGGAGAACCCGCGAAGCCAATTAAAGACACAACCCATTTTGGAATATTGTGAAGCTTCTTAGAGTCTACGTTACATTTTCTAATACAAACCTCCCTCTCCCACTCTACAATAAATTTAGCAGCTCTTGAAGAAGAATACATATAGAGAACTAAAAAGTAAGACTATGTGCTTACTTTCTTAGTAAATGCACATGCTCTGTGTGAGCAAGAACTTCAGGGCCTCAGTTATGAAGGTATCTGTGCAAACATGAAGGTGTCTGTGGAAGCCTCAGGCTAAATCTGCGGACCCTGTACCCAGTTAATTGCTCCTATTAGGATGAAGGGAAACCTTAAAAGTGCCATGCTGACTTTGTTTTTCAAAGAAATTATGATAGATCCTAAACATCACCTTATTTCTCAGAGTTACTTCATGAATTCACAGAGACAAGAGGCAGAGGATGAAAGTATGTGCTGCTTTGAATTTGGAATGCTTTTTCTTCTTTCTTCCTTCTTTCTCTCTCTTTCTTTCTTTCACTTTCAGATGATTTCATATCTGCATAATACAAAGCAAAAAGGACAGAAACTGATTGACATGGGGATTCTTCTGGTGAAGCAAACCAGATTGAGTAACACAAACCAGGAAGGCAGGAGGGAACAGCTGTTCTGCTTTTTAAGTAATTCAAGACAGATATGATAAATAAATTCTGTAGATATTATGCGTAAAAATTTAAAAGAAAAAGATTGTTTATCTCTTTTCTGTAAAGAAAGGAAATGAAAAGAATCCTGACTGGCGTGATGGCAAGGTGGAAGACTGGGGCTGGCAGAGGTAAGCAGGAAGCGCGGATGGAGCAGAGCATGCTCAGGAGCAGTGCAGGGCAGATGGCCACGTGCACCACCCCTAGTCCCTGGGCACCCAAGAATGAGAGCCCGATAGGGAGTTTACTCTGCTCACCCACCTTGAGAATCCTGACATGCCATTCACTTCACTCACACCATGAAAATATATTTTTATGTGTTAAATATTTCTCTCTGCTCTAGGCATAATACTACAGTGACGAGGACTAAAAAAAGTTTCTTTTCTCATGAGCCTTAGAGTCTTATGGGGGAAGATGGAGATACGTAGTAAATTAATTTAAAAAACAGGAAATATCGGGGAGAGGTGTTACAAAGTGAATTAAATAGGCCATTGCGTAGAAAGTGACAGAGGAGCTACTTCAAAGGGGCTTGTCAGGGATGGCCCTCCAAGGAGGTGACATTGTAGCTGAGATCAGAATGAGAGGAAGGAGCCAACCAGGCCAAGTTAAGGGAAAGAGCCTTGCAAAGGCCCTGAGGTGAGGAAGGAGCAGAGAGCAGGCCAGCATGGCCAGGTGTTTGTGAGAGTGGGAAAGCATGGCAAGATGGGACTCAAGGAGAGGTGGGATCTAGTCTGGGAAGGAGAGAGATGGTGGTTCAGGAGAGGAGCTTTGTGAGAAGCACAGTCCCTGGTTTCCTAACTTAGTCTCTCGAGCAATTGTCATCTCCTAATCACTTAGCAGGGGACAATAGGAGAATGATCATGGCCAGGACCATGGCAAGGTCACCCTATACATTAGAAACAGGATCATATTCCAGATCACAACCCTCACCCTCTCCCACAAGGCTTCACAGTGCCCCATGGCCCTCTCCCTTCCTCAGAGTAGCAGTCCTTCCCTGCACACAGCCCCGGTCCTCAGGGTGCTCCAGGTCCAGCAGGTGCCTGTCACTCTCGCCCTTATAGTTCCTTGGGGGGCTCTACATCTTCCCTCACTCTCACCTGTGCAGAGGGAGATGAGACTAGTTCTCCTCTTCAAGCTAGTCCTCTTCCTCCTTACTCCAGGAACTTCCACCTTCAATACAGACATAAGTGAAAGAGAGCAAACTTTGTGAGGCACCCTCCATGAGTCTAGCAGTACGCGTTTATAAATCCTTCCACAGATCAAGAAGCCAGCCCAGAGAGTAAATTGCTCCAAGTGCTGAGCCATTCTGCCTCAAGGCTCACTTGTGGGACACCCTAAGGCTCAGCTCCTCCAGCCCTGAGCTCTCTCTCTCCTCAAGGTGAACACTGTCTCTCATCTTCCTTGCAATGAATGTTTCTGGAAACCACTGGAAAATGTTTGTAAGAACTTATCTTCTTACTAAGGCTTCCAGAAATTGCCACTTCAGTAGACTCTTGGTTTTCTTCCTACTTGATTTGTTTGCAGCATCTAATGCTGATGGCCAATCTTTCTATTCATGAGACTCTGGTCTTTATTGTAGAACAGCATTGGTCCTTGTTTTGCTTTTTACATCTCTCTTTCTCGGGTTCTCACCAACCTTATGTGTTCCACCTCCTCTCTTCCCCTCCTCCTCTACTTTCCTCCCCTCCCCTCTGTTCCCCTCTCCTGCTTTCTCCTCCTCTCCTCTCCTCCCCTTCCCTCTCTCCTCCTCTCTTCTCTCTCCCTTTTTCTCTCTCTCCCCATAGCCTCACTGAGTGCTTCCATCACTTCCCTAGTTTGAGTCCCATCAGTTCACTCACTACACCAATGATTCCTAGACTAGTTCTCTAACTCCCATTTTTTTGATTTCTAGAATCATAAAATTCCAACCATCTATGGAGTGTTCCATAAGCACTCAAACCTACCAGGTTTAAAACTGAAATCATTGCTTTTTTGAAAAACGGAATGTTTTCCTTGTCTTTTATTCATAACTTGTTAAAAGGCTTCATGCCGTATTCACCTATCCAAATTCTGCTTGTCTTTCAAGACCTAGCCTCAGTGCTATTTCCTCATGAAGTCTTCACTCAAAGCTGAGCCACCCTCTTCTCTGCCCTTTAGTCCTCTAGCTATACGTGTATTACATTATACTGATTTGTTTGTCTATTTGCCTCTGTACTTGAGAACAAAACTCTGTCTTATTCATCTCTGCCCACCAGAATTGCACACTGCCTCGCACACAGTGCGTGGTCAGAAGAGAAAAGCAGTAGTGAGGAATCACTTCATGAATGCATCACACTTTTGGAGGGCCACAGGTAGTTATATTAATGAAACTTTGAATCATTTTTAATCTTCCAGAACACTAATTCTTACTTGTGCTTCCCAAGGCTAGCACAAGAAGCTGCCATAGATGGTTTAGGGACCTGCAGTTCTGAATTTAGGGACTAAACAAGGTAATGTTTTAGATTTCATTTTGGTTTATAGCTTTTCATTCCTCATTTTTACTTTAGTCCCTAGAATATCTCACTGGATCAATGTTACTAAGACACTTCTTTCTCACAGAGCCTTCCAATCTCTGTGCCAAGCTGTGAGTTGTGCTTCAATTAGCTCAGAGCCTGCTGTGTTGTTGATCCCTCCCAGGCCTTGGGGTGGCATGGCAAGCCAAATACTGTGCAGGGGGAAAGACAAGTGGGAACCAAAACCCCAAAAACAGCTGGGACCAAAACAAGCTGCAAGTCAGCCCATGCCTGCTGCCTAAACTTTGGTTGTACTAAGAGGCTCCCATGAGAAATAGAAACCTAATGACACTGTCTTGAATGGTCTGATATCTTCATGGTTTTGGAACCCCCAAGGGCCTGGATAAGCAGGCACAAAGCTGCTCTGAGGGACATTCTTTCAATCAAGACCACACAGGATTTCAGGAGAAAAAGCTTCCCTCTCAAGGGAATCTCATAATCAAAAATTTTGTAACACATAAGAAAATATTTATCCCTAGTGAGTCAGCAGACATAGCAAACCCCAGGAACTTGAAATAGTGGAACAATATTCTCAAGTAAGTTATAAATTAAATATTTTCAAATTATTAAAAGGATAAAATAAAAAACAGAATCCATACAGAAATAATAAGATACTTTAAAAGAAGACTATGTAGCTTTGAAGAAAATAGAACTTTTAGGAAAAAAATATATAGTCATTAATATTAAAAATTCGTGATTGGTTTTAATACCACATTAGACATAGGTGAAGAAAGATTTAGTGCACTAGAATATGTATCTGAGGAAGTTACCCAGAATCTAAAGACAGAAAGATAAAGGGATGATAACATAAAAGTAGCATTGACAGACATGAGATGGAGTACAGAACCCCAACACACACCAGGGCAGATCTGCTTATTGCTTATACAGTTTCCATTCTGCTGTTTTCACTCACAGATGGCTGATTTGTTTGGGATGACAATATGCCCAACTAAAAAGATTATCTCCCAGCAACTCCCAAAACAAACTAGTAACCAAGTGACACAGTTTTGTCCAATGAAATAGAAGCAGAAGTTTCCAAAGACAAGTTCCTGAGGATGGTCTTTAAAAGTTGGCCCATTCTCCTCCCAATTCTTTCTATGTGAACATGGGCACAGGGTTAAAGGTGGAGCACTCATCTTGCAAATATACAAAGGATGATGAAGAAGACAGCTAAAAAGATTTTAGCATGCCTAGCTCCAGACATCTAGTCATGTGAGAGAAATTTATTCAAGCCATCATTAAGTTGTGTTTTCTATCTGATGCATCTAGCTATAATCTCTCTAGTTGATAAAATGAGATAAGAGGAGTCTAGAAGGAAAAAATAGAGAGAGTGGAGGTAAAACAATATTTTAAATAGAAAGTCCCTGAGAAATTTTCAGCTCCAAACGAAAACACTTAGAATGAAGAATCTTACCAAGTCCCAACCAGAAAGGTTAAATGTAAGTCCATATCTAGACACATTCAAAGGAGAGAAAGAAAATGTTGAAAGTAACCACAGGGAAAATACATTTAATGGGAGCATATTCCTCAAATGAAAGACACCTGAAGACAATGGAATAATATTTTCAAAATGTTGAGAGAAAATGATTGATCTGAATTCTATAGTTAGCTGAAATATTATTCAATGCTGAGAGCAAAATAAAATTTTCTTTCAGACAAAAGAAGAATTTATCAGTCACAGACCTTCACTGAAATAACTACTAAAGGATATATGTTAAGAAGGTGGGAAATGAAGCCAGAAGAAAGATGCAAGAAGCTTTAGTGAGCCAAGACATTGACAAGCATGTGTATAAATCTAAATAATAATTAAATCCAAAAATCATGTAAAAAAATCTATGTGGAACTTAACAAAATCTCATGATTGAAGAATGCATTGGGGTAAGAATCACAAGCAGCTGCCTCTGCTATCATTTTTCTAGCAAATCCTGGATCTAGTTATTCTAGAAACATATTTCCTTGTCTGTCTCCAGCAATTTCTCTAAGAAGCAGATGGTAAAGTCAAAATACCCACCACAGGGCGTACTTGAGGTACTAACGGGGCATTCTCCATATTTTCTGGTGCTATCTAGAAATCTTTGACAACTAACATGATTTCAGTTTACAGATTTCAGTCAGAGAGGAAATAAATTTTAACTGTATACTATGTAGAATACTAAGTGGTTGGATCAAATACACACCTGAAAAAATAAAACCTGTGCTATATCTGACTGTCAAATATGACCGCACCTTTAAATATTATTACTCCCACCATCAAATCTCGCATACTATCAAAACTCCCCCCATACACTTGCCCAATTAAATGAAAATGACAGAAAATCAAAAGGCCAGCCCACAGAGACTGTTCTTCATGTGGTAGGAGTATGATCAAATGTTTCCATGGCATCATCTTCTGGTGACCAGGGGTGGTATATCATGATTGGCAGGGTGTTCTTGCTTTGTGTTGAGATTTGCTATACCGTATTTTTTTAAAAAACATAAAGTAAATCATTCTCCCCAAACCATATAATATTCAAAATCCTACCCTGTTTTTCAAAATTTGATTATTCTTTTTCTCCCTCCCTCCCTTTTTTTAAATTTATTTATTTATTTTGAGGAAGATTAGCCCTAAGCTAACATCCACCACCAATCCTCTTTTTGCTGAGGAAGCCTGGCCCTGAGCTAACATCTGTGCCCATCTTCCCCTACTTTATATGTGGGATGCCTGCCACAGCATGGCTTCATAAGCCGTGCACAGGTCCACACACGGGATCTGAACCAGGGAACCCCGGGCTGATGAAGCTGAGCACGTGACCCTAACCATTTCACCACCAGGCCAGCCCTGCTCCTCTCATTTTTTTTCATTGAATTTTAAAACAAGAAATCACCATCTCACTCTCCTTACAGTTAATTTCCTTTGATCTAATCATTTCCAAAAGAAATTGCAGAAAATTACCAGGAGGATTCTTATGGATTTTTCTGACACTTGTCAAACACTTCTTGACCTATAATCCAGGCTAACTCTAGCCACTCTGAGACAGAATTTGATATCATTATCATCTCAAGTTCCATTCCCCCTCATCCCCAGATTAGAGACTTTGAATCCTTTGATTTATTAGAGACTTTGAATCCTTTGAAATATGCTGGTTGACAAAAATATTCTCAGGAGAAAAAAATCATTCCTTTCCTCTCTTACTCACAAACACAACATCGAAACAAGACCTAAATCCCAACGCCTTAGCCCCTTGTGGCCACATTCCATTCCCAGGCCTGGCTGATGAGGTGGTCTGGGAAGCATTCTGGCTGGGAGAGATCACATTGCTAAATGGGGACGTGAAAAGGAATGCGGTTTCCTGAAAGTTTCCAGCAAGTACATGGGAATGGAGCTCTTGAAAGAACCATAGAGCTGGAAGCACTTCCCTTCTGAGAAACACTTCCAATTCCCCCATGAAGCCAAGTGTAATAACAGTTCTGACATTATTATTTCAAAGGGGAAAAAATCATTCATGCAGACTTTGCTGCTGTAATTTGGGTATTTATAAGCCACACCCTCTTTGCAACCTTAAAGCCATGTGGTTTAAAATGGAGCCCACACAAAAGAAGGGGTTGTTAGTCAAAGCCATACAGCAATTTCTGCCCAGTCTCTCTGAAGCTGTCAGGGATAGCTATTTTTTTAAGTGATTTCAGACACTTTTTAAAAGTTTGTCTCTTTCTCCTTATATGCAATATATATCGTCAAAGTTTTAACAAAATTTTTCCTTTTTGACCACAAGATAGAGTTCCAGACATGGGCAAAGAACTCATGTAATAAAAGCTCATGGTTTGGGGAACTTAATACAATAATAGCGTGTTCAGGAAAATTTTCTGCAATTGCAGCTCATTTTTTTGTCCTTTAGTGAATCTGCTTTATTTAGAATGAACCGATGGCTCCCAGAAGTCACTGTGGCCTCCCACCACGCACATGTGTCATCAGTTACATATGGACCCACTTCCCCAATGGTCTTGGACAACACACTGCTTTAAGAGATGTAGCGTTGCACACTGATCCTGTGGTTCTTGTGCAGTGGCAGGATGATTTCTTTCTAATTGTGGTAGAATACATATCACACAAAATTTACCATTTTAACCATTTTTAAGTGTACAGTTCAGTGACATTAAGTATATTCACATTGTTGTGCAACTATCACCACTATTGATCTCCAGAACTTTTTCATCACCTCAAACTGAAACTCTGTACCCATTAAACAACAACTCCCCATTCCCTACTCCCTCCAGCCTCTGGCAACCACCATTCTACTTTCTGCCTCTATGAGTTTACCTATTCCAGATATTTCATATGAACAAAATTATAAAATATTTGTACTTTGTGTCTGGATTATTTCACTCAAGATAATGTCTTCAAGGTTCATCCATACTGTAGCATATATCAGAATTTCATGCCTTTTTAAAGCTGTATAATATTCCATTGTATGTAAGGCTGAATAATATTGCATTATATGCTTTGGGTAGAATTGACAATTTTATTAACAATTGTTAATAAACTGTTACTTTAATTAATAATATTAAATCTTCTAATTCATGTACACAGGATGTCTATTTCTTTCTGACTTCTTTAATTTCTTTCAGCCATATTTTGTAGTTTTCAGTGTATAAGTCTTTCAACTCCTTGGTTAAGTTATTTCTAATAAATTTTATTTTGTTATTATAAGTGGAATGGTTATCTTAATTTCATTTTCTGACTGTTTATTGTTAGTTTATAGAGATACAACTGATTTTTTGTGAGTTAGGAATGATTTTTTTTAAATGTTAAAAGGTCAGGTATCACCAGGAAATACCCCCAAAAAGAAACAGACTTACAAAACATTGTTATACTCACCTTCTTTGCAGGTGTCTATATTTTGGGTCCCTGAGAGCTTTGGTCAAAGACCTATCGGAGGCCGAAAGAAAAAAAAGACAAAAGAGCTGTCTTACATAAAAAGCTGATTCCTAGGAAACAGTGTGGTGTATATATATATTTTTTTTTTAAGAATTTTTTTTTATTTTTTTCCTTTTTCTCCCCAAAGCCCACCGTACATAGTTGTATATTCTTCGTTGTGGGTCCTTCTAGTTGTGGCATGTGGGACGCCGCCTCAGCGTGGTCTGATGAGCAGTGCCATGTCCGCGCCCAGGATTCGAACCAACGAAACACTGGGCCGCCTGCAGCGGAGCGTGCGAACCTAACCACTCGGCCATGGGGCCAGCCTATATTTTTTTAAAAGGACAGAGGATTTGGTCTTTGTTTGAGAGAAGTTACCATGACAAGTTAGGATTTGTTCATTTAATAGTGAATATCTATTAAATATCAAGCAGTGCCTAGAGACTGGGGATACAGCAATGAAGAAAACAAAAACTCCTACCTTCATTGAGCTGATAGTCTATGGTAAGAACCAGATAAAAACCAAAATAACCAAGTAAAACATACAATATGTCTAATGATGACATACGCTATGAAAATAACAAAGCAAGAGAAAGAAAAGGATAACCAGAGCGCAAAGCAGCTTTTTGATGGCACCATCAGAGACGACTTGAGCAAGCGACATTGTGACTGAGAGCCGAAGGAGGCAATGGAGGTCAGACATTGGGAGCCTGGACGGGAGCCAGGCAGAGCAGCATGGGAAGCAGTGCCCCAGCCCAGTGGGAGTTGACAGAGATGGCTGCACTCTGAATCCTGGGGTGATGTGGCACTAAGAGTCGGCCTTTCGCTTTGTGTATAATAACTCTCCTATTTCTGTATTAGTTAGTTTTCTCTACAGAAACAGAACCAATAGGAAGTATACAAAGAAAGAGAGAGATTAATTGTAAGGAATTGATTCACGTGATTACAGAGTGTGGCAAGTTCAAAATCTTCAGGATGGGCTGGCAGGCTGGGGACCCAGGAGACTGATGCCGCAGTTTCAATCCAAAGGCAACAGGTCCCTTTGGGGAATGCTGGGAGAAAGACGAACAGTATAAGATTTTGGCACTGCACCAGGGTCCTTCATGGAGGGAACCCCACCTCCTCTTCTTTCAAGGAGTTCTGGGTCTGTAAACCAGCTCAAGTCTGAAAGTCAATTGAGGAGCCATGACTTTCTGTGTTTAAGATTCAGGTTAGACTTTTGTTCACTTGACCAAGAACTTTTCTGCTTATAGGGATCAAGTAAGAATTTAATAGATTTCCTATCTATTCACTTCTAGAACACCATGATTAAGTAGCCAATGCCATAGGTCTGCATGAGTCAGACTGTTCTGATTACTGCTTTGACTCTGCCTTTGGTAGTAGAGTGTCACCTCTTGGCCCCTGCCACCTCAAGGTCCAGTTACTGCCATTATTAGTAAGTTTCCCAATTGAGTGGTTACAGTTCCCACTAAGAGGCTTGGCTTACAGAGAAGAGCTATTCAACAGTGTTGAATTCCCTCATAAACTATTTCTCATAGTCCTGAAATATATGTATTCTGGATGCTCCCAGCATGGGTGAGTAGACCTTAAATGACAAATCTACTATAATATTCCAGTGACTCTAAGCCTTTGACTCCCTTACTCTACATTAAACCAAGATACATCTGACATTTCCAACTTGCTCACTGTGGGCCATCTTTTGGTCCAGGTTTCAGCCAACTAACAAAACAAATTGTTAGAGCCCTTTCTAACCACCCAAGCTGCAACATTAAACGTACAATCTCTGTTTAGTGAACCCATATCAATAAATTCAGCCTGATCCAACTTTCTGTTCCTTCCACCATCATCCCACACCCTTAATCCCCAACATGCTCCACTCTCCCTTCATTCTTAGGAGAAAAAGTCCACTGACTAAACACATTGGGACTGATATCTAAAGGATCCAATTTCTTAAATTTGGTAGATCACATGGAGAGAAGAAAGGAACAGAGCAAAAAATGGTACAACTAGTCAGATTGCCCACATTTAGCTCCTACTGTGTGCCAAGTGCTGGTGCTATAGACACAGTTCTGTGAGATAGGTACCTATTTGCTTTGTGTTACTGAAGAGGACACTAGAAAAAGAAAGGAACCTGCTCAGTGACATGACTAGAAGGTAGCAACAGTGCGATTCAAGTCTAAGTCTGCCTGGTGCCAAAATATTTCTAAATAATGTATTAAATTAAAATCTGGAACCTTTAGATGCTAAATGCTTAATAATGCCTCCTGGGTTTTCTTGTGTCCCAAAAGTTTTGCATTTTGACACATTCTTCTTTGTGCCAAATCTGAATCCGAAATGTTATGGAAATAAGATGAAGAGGAAATAGCCTCCAATTTTATTTTTAGAGCTCAGCAAATGTTCATTTTGTATGGTCAGGGCAACCAAAATCAACATTATTAAATTAAATCATGGCTTTTGCAAAATTACTGATTCACATAGATACCACAAGTTTTCAGAGAGAACACAGGAATTTTAGGGGAAACAGCCTGCCTCTAACAGGGAGAAATTCTGCTGCACAAATTCTGGTTCAGACACGCCTCTAGACATTTTGAGATGCCAGAATCTGGGAGGTCAGAGTAGACATTGCACACAATCCTTTTCCAGAAAGTATGATGTGTTATATTTGAAAAACTAATAGACGCTCCAAGTCAGAGACTGAATGGCCAGTACATTTCAAAAAGACCTAGGATTAAGGTTCTCTGGGAGAAATTGGTTTATGGCTTTATGATTTATTAAGGTCCCTTTGGCCTTGTAATTCAAGTTGCACATTCAAATGCTTGTTGTTATACAAGTTCATTTTCGACAAAACTGAAAGAATGTGCTGCAACTGAACTCAAAGTGGACATCATTGGTCTTTGCTTTGACCAGGGTTGAATCTCGGCACCTTTTATAGTGTGTGGTAGGCTCACAATTGGACTCAGCAAAGATGCTATCGCCTTGAAGGCAATTTTCTCAGCACCAATGCATGAGATTAGGTCAAGAATCTAGGATTAGATACCAAGCCCACAAACTGTGCATTAGTCATTTTATTAACATTAAATAAGGAAAATTCTTCATAAACAAAGAAGACATAGAATAAGTGGCTCATATTAAAGATAATTATTTATATGTTGTGAAATGTCTGAACTTAGTCTCCTGAGAATAAACCATCTAGATGTATTTCTTCAATTCAGCGAGAAAAACTTAACAATAATAAACATGAAATGTCTGCACTTTTTACACACCAAAAGAAAAAAGTGAGAATCCCACTCTAACTGCCTCAGCAGCAGACTCATGTGTGAAGGTAAACAAACAAATGCTTTAGAAAGCACGCGCAGGACAGGATGAGAGCATTCCACCGACCTCAGGGCTGTCTTCCTACTCATGTGGACCTTGAGCAGTGTTGGAATTAAAAGGCAAGGGACAAGGTCTGGGTCCATTTTTTATCTAGAGACTAAAAATCTGAGAGCAGTCACGTTGAGAAAGGCCCAAAATGCCGCATGCTTTGCACTGCTCCCCTAAACAAGGCAAGAACACAGCCAAGCACCAAGGAGGGGATTACAAAGCAAGGGTGTTGGGTCTTCTCTGATACTTTCTCATGAATGCCCCAGCTCACTGCAATCCGGGTGCTGGGGTTCCCTAGCTTCCCCAGGCTTCTTGGAAAAGACGGGATGCTGGTAAATTCTCTAGAAAATAAATGCAGAACTTCCAAAATGCTACTTAGAAAAATAATGCAGTGTTCAAAAATAATCCATGATTTAAAGTGAGGACCCCAGAGGAAAGATTGGGGTTCCTGGAAGACCTGCTCTGGTGGCTGCTGCCTGACCATGGTAAGTTGCTGTGCTGCATGGGGATCACTGGGAAGATCAGTGTTCCGGCTTTGCTGCCCAGAGTGAACTTCTCCCCTCACCCTACAAGAGCTCCTTCAGCTTGGGCAAGCCCCTGTCTCCTGTTAAGGTCCCAGAACCCAGCAAAGTCAGCATAGTTAAAGGGAGTTCTGGAATATGAAACAGAAGGGGATGTTTTGAATATAAAAACCTAAGGCTTAAGATACCCAGAAAATGGGAGAAGGACAAAAGGGGAGCCTTGAGATGTTATATTAGGTAATCCAGGTGAAGGGGAAAAAAAATCCCAAAATGCCAACATTGAAATGAATCCCATAAAAGGCATCCCCAAGAAGGGTCTGGGGTGGGCAATGACCTAGAATATACTTCCTGAGGAAAATATTTGACATACGGAAAAATGAAACCAGCACATAAGATCACCTGAGGGGCCAGAGTTATGGGGGAAAGCAGGACTCTCCTATGGATATCTGCTACATTCAAACCTCCACAGAAAAGCCAACGCCCACAGAGAAGGCAGGTGTGAGGACACCTCAGACAGGTGCATGGGGAGGTTCAAGGCATAGGAACATTTTACAATATATGTTCTACTGAATAGTTGTGGCCACCTTAACAAAAAGCAAAACAAATTTTATTCTTATTAGTTGTCTTTTACCAAAAGATACAAAAGAATTGTTTTGTGAGAGTCTTTTTGCTGGTCAAAGTGCTCCACAAAGCTTGAGGACCAAATGAAACAGAAGAGTGCTGCAGATTCTGAGCATATTTCTGTCACGGCAGTTGGATGAAGGATACACTTCATTCAGATCATTTATAAAGCACTTGGTGTTGACTTCATGAGGACAGGAGAGGCCCACTGCCTGCCAACCTGCTAGGAACATTTTTTTCTGCTCTAACATGGGGTGAGAACCTCCACAGAGCTGGTGAGTCCAGGATAATCCAGATAATTCCATGAGTCCAGTCATGGAGCAGGGATAATTCTCCCACACTCACCCCACAGTGGGCAGAGCCTGGCTTCCAGCCAACCCTGGTCACTGTCACCTAGGACCCCAACTGGTGTGCAGGCTGTGATTCCCCCCACGTGCCCACTCTAGGCCCCAGCTAACACTAGTAAAAGAACATTCTTTACTGGAGCTGTTTCACCATTCATACCTC